GACAGGAGGAAGGAAGGGGGGAGGGGGTCAGTGAGCGAAAGAACAGGGCCTTCCTACATGTGAGTTGCCCTTTGCTCTGTCCTCAAGCTCCTGCCTTAGTCCTGGATGTATGTGAAGTAACTGGCAGTTGGATCTGTTCTGGGGACAGCTGGTGGTTGGGAAACTTTCCCCCGGGCTCTATAAGCGGCATGCTGTAGACCAGTGGCCCCAGGGATTAGGAGCCAACCACCTGGCTGGCCACCTTGCACTCAGTTCTGCTAACTGGCCGCAAGGGGGCAGCAGGCAGCACTCGCCCGACTGAGGTACCCAGTCCCAGGCTCATCCTAGCTTGAGACAATTTTAGTACCGAAGTTTAAAAGATCCCGGTGGCACAGTAGTTAAGCAACTCAGCTGCTACCTGAAAAGTTGGCTGTTCAAACCCACCAGCTTCTCTGCGGGATTGGGGAGATAAAGGTTACCCTCCTCTAAGGTCACTATGTGATGAGTCGGCTTAATGGCAACCAACAGTAAAAAATGGGGTGCGGCTGTTCCTTTTCATTAACCAGTAGAGCTTCCCCTTCCCTCAGCAGACACCAGATCCTAAGCCCCCTTCTTGGTAAGATTTGCCCTTCCTAAGGCAACAATGAGGGCTAGGAATGTTTCCCACTCCAGAGGTTTGCTTGCATCAGGCTGGGTCGTTAGATTTTAAGAAAGACTTTCTGACAGCCCTAGTGGCTAGTGGGTTATGCACTGGGCTACTAACTGCAAGGTCAGCAGTTCAAACCCACCAGCAGTTCCTCCTCCGGAGAAAGATGGGAGTTTTTTGCTCTTGCAAAGAGTTGCAAACTTGAAAACGCACAGGAACAGTTCTATTCGGTCCCGTTCGGGTCACTGAGTCAGAATCGACTGGATGCAGTGAGCGTGACTTTTCTGACAGCCCAAGTTCATTTAAGGCCTTCCTTATCTCCTCGGCTTCATTTCTTTCCACTCCCTTTCCCCCCTCCCCCCCTTAGTGCTCTTCTCCTTTCACATAGAATTATTGGACCCTTAACTCACTTCCATGTTTTCAGAATGTGCTGGCCCCTCTGCCTGAAATGCCCTTTCACTTTCCCACTTATCGATCTCCTATAGATCCATCAAGGCCCCATTTAAATGGCCCTCTCTGAGAAAGTTCTACTTTCTGGGGCAGAGTCAGCAAAGACCTCTTCATGGCTCTCACAGCAATGTGTACAACCTCTACTGTTGGTGTGTACAGGCACAGTCATTCAAGAAGTAGTTCTCTGGCCCTTCTTGGGGCATTGCAGTACAGCGGAAAGCAAGCCCTGCTACAGTGGGAGTTGGCATCGGGCCAGGAGCGGGGCTGGGAGTGGAAGGCAGGCAGGCAGTAAACACAACACTAAGTTTGGTACAGACATCCCAGCTCGCGCTGTTAGAATTTCCTGTTTCTGATCGAATTCTTCACAGACCACCTCCAGTTCAGAGGGGTTCTCTCTACCTCCAGGGCCCCCGAATTGATGAGTGAATGAATGAGTGACCATGAGCCCAGCCAAACCAAGGGCAGGACCTTCAGCATACCGCACGCACTCCCACCTCGATCACTTGCTTTCTCTGTCACTTTTCTCTTGTTAACAGTTTCTTACTGAGCACTGACGAAATGCTAGGCAGGGGTGTTAAAAACACAAGTCACTCTTCTAAGAAAATTCTGGGTAGGAAAATATATCCAGAACTAGAGATCTAAATCAGGAGAAAAGCAAGGCTTTCGTCTCCCGTAGAGTTACAGTCTCGGGGATTCATGGGAGTTCTACCCGGTCCTATTAGATTGCTGCGAATCGGCATCGGCTCAATAGCAGTGAGTTGGGTTTAAAAAACTTTTGTTGAGGCACCTAAATGGATGATCTCGTCTCGTTCTCATATCCTTACGAGGACCCTCCTTTTGTAAATGAGAAACTGAGGCTCACAGGTTAAGAAATGGCCCATGGGTTGACCCGTAGGTTGAGTAGCACCAGCTGTTCCAAAGAAGCCTCCAACTTTTCCCAGCGGCCCAGTTAGCTCAGTGCCATGATCTTGTCCCTCTGTCTTCCCACAGAGAGTGGGAACTAGCCGTTGTCCCACAGCCCCAGCCTTCTATAGCCCTCTCCAAGGTGGCACCTGACCACTTGGGGGTTAGTCACATGGGGAATGTGGGTGTGGCCTCCTCAAGGACCCCAGGTCCTGGCTGGCAGTGGCACCCCCAGCTGGGTGCGTGCTGACTTCCTCTTGCAGCCCAAGAAGAGGGGCTAGGAGGCCAGCAAGGAGGGTCGGAGGCTGGCGCTCATAAGGAAAGAACCGGAGCTGGCGGCCCAGCTCTGCCAGGCTGAGCGAGGTTCGTCTCTGGCTGCAGCTGAGGAGTGGTCTGAAGTCCAGCCCAGCCTGCCTCCCCAGCCCTGAACCTCCAGCCTCTCCTTAGAGCCCTTCGGGCTCCCACCCCACCCCCAAGCCCCTGAGCACAGGCCTGTGGGACGGAAGCTTTCTAAGATTTTTGTTTGTGTGAAAATATGTTTATTGTGCCCTTTCATTAAATGATGCTTTGGCAAGGTATAGAATTCTAGGTTTGAGATTATTTGCCCTCAGCACTTTACAGATACGATTCCATTGTCTTTTGGCATCTGCTATTGCTGATGAGAAGTTTACTGTCAGTTCAATTATTGGACCTTTGTAGATAAGCTACCCTCTCTCTGGTGGGTTTT